AGAGGGGTGTTGAGGGGCCAAGAGAGAGGATGGGAGATGAACGGGGATGCCGGAGTAAGAATAGGGTGTTGAGAAGGGAGGCGATGGAAGGATTTTGTTTACTAGGAAGGATTAATGAAAAGGAAGAGTAGAGGCAGATGCATAAAGGAAGGGGGGATTGAAAGGAGAGGATAGAGGGAAAGGTGGAGGAAAAGGATAAGAACGAGAGGAAGTTTGTAAGAGGGGACGAAGTTGTGAAGACTAACAGGTCCTCAACACACTGCTTATTGGCGCGGAGGATTGAGGTACGGGGAGTGATTGTGGCGTCAAACTAAACCCTGATTGTGGCGTCATGCACAAGCCATCCTACACAAGCTACTCTGACGTACACTAATCCAATGCTAAACTGGATCTAAGACACTTGTCACAGCTTATCAGATCTGTCAAACTGATAATGTTAGTAAACAAGACGATGACTTTGAATATTTATGAATAAGACTGATCCTGGTTTGAGTACTCGTAAGTTTGCCTGGTCGTCATTAGTGGCACGATGTATAGTCAACAAAACAATTTCTGCGCCTTTATGGTCTTATACAATATGACACCGGACCAAAAATTCTGAACAACGCTCATTTACGCGGATGATTCCTGTTAATTTCTCTGTATTAACTATATGTGATATAAAAAAATACATCATACTGGTTATACAATGCATCACTCAACCAGAAATACCAACCTTACCAAATTAACTTTGCCTCAGTCAGTGATCGTTGCAGAGGCCATCAGACTAGGGGGTGCAGAATATTTTTTTGCTGACTGTATATAAACTGGCGGTCATATCTGGCTTGGTGGGGAGACGATAAGCATTTTTTTTCCTCAAGATCGCTGAGAGGGAGAGAGGGGGGCCTGGGGGGGGGGGGTGGCTAGAGAGAGATCAGTTGTGTCTCTTGTTTGAGAGATATACACTACTGAGGTTTCAAGAGCAGCACCATCTATATAACCCCGCGGTCATCTGTGGTCCAGTGGGGCGAGATGTACAGCTGGTGTGTTCTGAAGGTGTCCGACGGATTCTAGGCCAATGCCGGGTCAGTTGGTGAGTCGCCGAGGGGCAGCCAGCGTGCCGACACGTGCTTCCTATTGAACAATTATGTATGGCCAAATTTTCGTGGGTATAAATCTGAAGCGTTAGATCACACAGTCTGTTGTAAATCTCAGCTAGTTATGTGCTCACGCGTTAATTGTTCAGGAAGGGTCTTGTGAATTGGTTCATTTTTGTGTTGTAATTCTTTTATTCTTGCTAACACCAGATGGTTTTACTGAGCCGAGGGGAGGAACTCTTAGCAACCAGAGTTAAGAAACATTATTTATTGTTTCTTCTTTCCTCGTTTATTGTCATGTTTTCTTTCTTACTCCTCTCTTACCGGTCTTCGTCCAATGTCTGCTTTATCACCCTCTCCCCTCCCTCTCCTCTTCCTCCTCCAAGACCACCAGTTGGGAGGCCTTCACAGTTACCTCTACATAGCTATTTTGCAAGAAGTAGTATTTACTGGGAGTGAATACACTGGTCTATTACAAGATATTGATAATTTTTACAATGGTTGGGACTGGGCTGTTCTTATAGCGATCAGTTCGTGCACGTATGGTGGTGGTGTGAGGTGACGTCATGAAGGGGTATTGACCTAGAAGACACTAAAGTCTATCGGTGACTTCCGTTATAGATTCACTTTGACACACACACACACACACACACACACACACAGACAGACAGGTACTCACTCGCAAGGTAATCTGTTTTATATAAGTCAGATTAAAAGTACAATATCCACAGCTCAAGACACAATTGTGATGATTTCCAGTCAGTTAATCGCTTCTGCCAGTTATTGTTTTACGAGTATAATCATTTTACTATTATACCCGTTTACGAATATACTAGATTATTTAATATACTCGTTATACGGATATACTCGTTTTATGGAGACTCTTGTTTTACGAATATATTACAATGTTGCTTATTAATGGTCATCTGATCACTATAAGCGGTACCTGGGGTTATACTGAAGTTAGTAATAATTTGTTTGGATCAGGTGAAGATGAGACACCTCAGCTTATTTCACCTGAAGATTAACCATCCCAGCTTATTTCACTTGAAGATTAAACATTCCAGCTTATTTTACCTGAAGATTAAACATCCCAGCTTATTTTACCTGAAGATTAAACATTCCAGCTTATTTCACCTGAAGATTAACACCTGAATGTTACCTGTGGGATTTACATTAGGTTAGGTTAGGTGAACGAACCTAGATGTGGAGGAACCTAAGGGTAGAGGAGCCTAAGGGTGGAAGAACCCGTATGCGGAGGAGCTCAAGGAAGGAGGAACCTGGGTGTGGAGGAACCTAGATGTGGAGGAGCCTAAGGGTGAAGGAACCCGTGTGTAGAGGAGCCTAAAGGTGAAGGAACCAGGGTGCGGAGGAGGCTAAGAGTGGAGACCTCCTTCCTACAACTGGCTAGAGTCTCGAGGCTACATTTTAACCCAGTAAGCTTCCTTCTCTTATCGTTCTTTGCCCGATGTGGTTAGGTTAGGGGATAGGGAGAGAGGACTGGATAGGGTGAGATTACAGAAGGGGAGATAGATGATTTGGGAGGGCTAGATAAGAATAGGCGGGAGGGGGTTTGTAGGGATGGGTAGTGAGGGAGACGAGAGGAAGAATAGTGTAAGGGGATAGGACTAGAGGATAGTAGGGGATAGTTATGTGATGGGGTCAGGTGTGGAGGGGGGTTGGGTATGTGTGTAGGCAAGACATAGCGGGTTGCCCACATGACTAGGTAAACCAGTGTGTGTGTGTCCCGTTAACAATTATTAGAAGCTGTCTGGCCCAAGTCTTGTGTGGGAGGGAGTAAATCTCTCTCTCTCTCTCTCTCTCTCTCTAACACAGTTCCATGCAAGCTTATACACGTTTATTGACATACGTACACGCACATGCTAATTATCATACATGCACTGACACGCACATATATGCATGATTACACACACACACACACACACACACAATCACCACAATAAATCACGCCAAAATCACTTAAACACTTAGCATCTACTTGTGGGTTATATAACTAACCTAACCTTAATATTTGTTCCCAGTTAAGATTATTATCATTTACACTTTTTATTTATTTCCCTTGAATACTAACAACCAATAAGTGATGTAACATGCTAATTCGAGAAAGATTGCTAGTTTGCCTTTTATCATGGTCAAAGTAGATAATAAATCAATCACCATCATAGCAAAAGTAATGGTGGAAACATGGCGTCAGTTGGCCGTCTCCTATAGATGTTAAAAGCAATAATTTACTACAATATGTCTTAGTGTAAATGTGAATCCAGTAAGGAATTCAGTACGGCACAGAATGGTTACTTGTCAATCAGAACCGAGCAGAATTCACTGATAATCTTATTTATTAACCAAATTTTACTGAAATATCGTATGTTTAATTAATTTATTCTGATTCATAATATGGCTCATAATTGTGGACTTTGAAGAGACTGAACTCATTATGTGGAGTGTTAGGTAGATTGCTAGGAGTGGAAGTATGTGGCAACCTTCTCTCACCTGAGGTTCCCACGCTGAGTTGCTGAGGTGAGTTGTAAACTTCTACCCGGCCCCAGTCTACTCTCTGTCGTGTGAGTGGAAGGTTGCTTCTCCGCTCTTCCTTAACAATAACTTATTAAATGCCGTGTCTACTTATAATGAAACTGGCGTAAATATCGTTTTAAATGTTCCGTTGTTGAATTTTGGTGTGTGTTGTGCATCTCACTCCTATAAAGAGTATACAATATCCGTACACACTAAAGGTAAGGAATTTAAGCCACCATATAATAAAGTGACCTTGAGTCTGAGTAATGAAAGTTTGAACGTCTTGTAATATTTGAAAGTGACTTATGTTAATTAGGAGCTATGGTCAACGTGTTAAGTGTGTCTGATTGGTCGCGTGAATTTTTTTTATTTATAAGTATTGGACTAAATTAATGGATACTTGTCGTTTGTGACTAAAAGCAAATATTAAACAACAGTGGTGCAGTGATAGTCTAAGTACTATATGATCACCTGAGGATTACACACCCCATCTAATTTCACCTGAGAATTACACACCCCAGTTAATTTCACCTGAGGATTACACACCCCAGCTAATTTCACCTGAGGATTACACACTCCAGCTAATTTCACCTGAGGATTACACACCTCGGCTAATTTCACCTGAGGATTACACACCCCAGCTAATTTCACCTGAGGATTACACACCCCAGCTAATTTCACCTAAAGATTAATCCCCCTAAATGCTACCTGAGTGAGTTAAGTTAGGTGGTTAAAGTGAAGTAACCTGAGGTGTCTAATCTAAAGGCGATTCTATTACTGTTTCATAGATTTGTTATTTTTTTCATGTCATTAATGTCACCATATAATGTCGTATATGATGTAAATGTGGTAGGGTTACGTTGACCACCATTACCACCGCCATTACCACCACACACACACTTGTTGATCTACCACACTCATGACTCGTGAGGATTGAGGTGAAGCCCACGTCACCATTTCTCAGGGTAGTCTCGGCTTTTTTCCGGCTTTTTTTTTTTACTTCTCCCATACTTGACCATTTTATCATTTTCATAAGGCTGCCGGCATCCTCTCTGCTTGGTAATGGGGTTGAGAGTTGTAGGTAACCAAATACAGTTGTGAAATTGTTCTTTGTTGTCTGAGTGAGTGAGAGAAGGATTCATGGGTGTATGAACGAGTCACCCGGGAAGGAGAATTCTCGAAGGGAGGAGGCACGGTTAGGTGATGTTAAGGACAACTCGGTAGGTTTTAGGCTTTGTGTTGATTATATGTTTTTATGCCAAGAAATATATGCTATATCACAGAGCGTCCGACGTATGATAAATTGATGACGTCACGGGAAGCACTTGGACGGATGCAGCGCCCTAGTGACTAGTATGTTGCATTTTGTTAATTATTTTATTTTCTTGAGAACTTACGCGATATCAGTATCGTAACCAACGAGGTTTATCCGAGGTGCGATTAATGCTAGATGAAAATTCCATTCTTATTTACGCCTCATTATTCCCATGAATTGTTCTCTGAGTTTATAGGCCATTATTGGGAGATATTATTATCCCCCACGTGTAATATCCCAGGTATCCAAGGTATAAATGTATTTGTTAAAGTTCATAATGTTGTGAATTAGTTGTATCATCGTCATTATCATCAGGCAATTGAACGTAGATTGCTGGTCGTTCGGTAGCATTTCCTCGTTACGGCGGTCGTCAGCCGAGTTGTACTGTAATTTATATGATGATTACATGAACATATTCCAGAGACCATTACTCAGACAATACTGTTTGCTAATGTTAACCCAACCTTGTTATTAAGGCTTAGTTGCTTGGCAGAGTCACTCGTATCAGAAGTTAACCAAATTCCTTCTTCTGTATTATTCTAGAAGGTTAAGTATAAATCTACATTAACCTGACAAAGGATCTCAGGTGCCAAAGGTAATTAAAAGGTTATGGTAGCCTTAGAAACAGTTGAAGTTAAGTTAAATCACAGCTATGAGTCGATTACATCCCAACTGGACGATCGTTTGTTTACGCGATCTAACCAAACCTAACCTGCTGATGGGGTAATGTGACCCTACTGTTGGGGAGCTGGTAGTAGTTGACGGTGATGGTGCTAATAGTGGTTGGTGTGATGGTGCTGGTATGTCTCGACCAGAAAGTTGATAAAGTAAGATTACATAATGGAGACGGCATAAGAGGTAAAGGGCGAGAAGGTGTACCTCAAGTGGTCCTCAAGTGGTGGCTGGAGAAAGCGGAGTCAACAGATGCAAGGGGTTACAACTGAGTAACATTATCTATCTAGCTATCTGTATCTTATCCATCTATCTATCTTATCTTATCTTTCTTATCTCTCTCTATCTCTCTTATTGCTTCATTCCTCCTAGGTTCATTTATTCGTTCATTCTTCATAAACATTCACATTCCTACTCGTTTCACCTAACCTATACAAGGGAGTGTTTTGGCTGAGGAACTGCGTAGTATTGGCTAGTCTAACGCAGCTGGTGACTGCTGGGAGGCTATGCACACACCCGCTGCAGGGGCCTGAATGTTAAAAGATTTTGTGATTATATGTTCAGATGTTTAATTTGTGGCTCGTGTTCATTATGGAAGTGTTGCTGGTATATTAGTGTTATCTATGGGTATATTTCAGGGAGGTGTAGGTACAGTACTATATATATTTTAGTGGTATTTCCTAAGTCTAGTTTATGTCCATACAGTTGATTCATCTGGTATATTAATATATTTTTTAATGTGGAGTTTTATGTTGTCTCCTTCACTTGTGCGTTTACAGGGGCTCGTCAGGTTTTATGCAGTGTGGCAGTGATGTGTTTGTTTACATTCGACAGAAGGAAACTCGCAATAGTAAACATATGGAATCAATTTATAACAATATTAAAACAAATACCTCCAATATAATGATTTATGGAATGTTTATATGACGAGTCCCTGTAAACGCACTAGTGAAGGGGACTGTTTCGTATTGTATTGAGTGTATTTTTCTATATTCAAGTAATCTGAACCACTTGTAAATGTCGGCCTGTAGTTTGGCTATTTTGACACACTTAATGTTGTTTTAAGCTTTTTTACCAGAGGTTTTGTTGAGGTGTTGAAAATCCAAGTTTGGGTTAAGAATAATACTGGGTAGTCGAGTCACACACACACCAGCTCCCACAAATGATCACTGATAGATAACATTGTGGTGCTTAGTTAACCTTGGTCACGCCTCTATGTTCCAGTCAACACTAAACAACAAAAGTTTTAGCATTTATTGACTCCACCATAACAAGGCGTCAATTGAATGGGTATACCTCTGATGTGTTCAAAAAGGCTGTGTTGTTTTTAGTTCCTTGATGGCTTGTGGTTGAGTGTGTGTGTGGTAGTTGGTTGAGTGTGTGTGTGTGGTAGTTGGTTGAGTGTGTGTGTGAGATGGTGGTTGATTGTGTGTGTGTGATGGTGACAGCGTTGTGTTGAGTGTAGGTGTGAGGGGGGGCACATGATCACTATCTGTCCACTCTGCCTGTAACAGTCTCAACCCTCGTCAACTATCCGCCTCCATCACAGCTCAAGATACCCGTCAGCCACACACTTCCTGGAGTTGATACGTTACGCTTGACTTACCCTGAAGGTCTGATGGAAGTTTAACTATAAAAAGCATCAAGGGAGGGTTGAGACATAGGTTCTATTATTATTATTATTATTATTATTATTATTATTATTATTATTATTATTGTTGTTTATAGCGCTTCACAGGCTTTTAATTTATTATATAGTACTTTTTATCATAACCTTAGAGCATACATCATCTCTGTTGTCACTAGATGCCGTACACGACTATTAGGCGGTACAGTATATTACAGAACTACGTATCCTGTAATTTGTGTCATTTGAAAGATATTTTACCACTAAGAGTTTGGGGAGGGTACAGTACAGCTCTGGCTACACTGATGAAAACCTTCCCTGGAGCTACATGTAGTATACTTAGTCTGTCTCGGCTGCACTGACGGTAAATAATGGTGCTTAGGATTAATTTTGACTGGCTAAAGGTCCGCCATATTGACACTACCAAAACAAGGGTGGATAGACCCGACCCATTGATACTCTGGTGACTGATTTAATGTGACTGTTACTGTGACTGAGGTACCGGGTAGTAGTGGAGACATGAAGCTTATTTATTACATTGTAGTCTTGATGACGTTGACGGCCACACCAACAGTGACTCGCCAGAAAGCTGTGTTTGTGAACTGGTGTCTTCAAACAGTTCGGGAAGGCTTGTGTTCACTATTCCGGGTTACTGAACAGAGAACTTGAGCTCAATAATTCACACTTCATGGGATTGGTTATGTCCTGTGCTGTTAAATAAGAGACTGTAATACTGGGTCTTATATCCCTGAGAGATGTGAGGTGCTGGTGGCTGGGTGCTGGTGGCTGGGTGCTGGTGGCTGAGTGTACAGTAGAGCAAGATCTGTAACCTCACTCCAGAGGGCCGCTTAACCAGCCTGAGAGAATTACCGCCTCGTGATCACTAAGTTTCCTGGTCGAACTCCACCACTTGTCTCGCATGGTGGCGGAAGTCTTGTGTATGGCCTTAGAGGAGACTGTTAAGGGGGGGGGGGGAGACACTTAGTTCCAGTGAGTCAGTTTCCCTGTAGATGAGATGATGGAAACGACCCACACTGTATAAGGCTTCTTGCGAGTCGTGATCCAATGAGTAACAGTCTGCTCCAGTCACCTGTATGTAGTATATACAGATTATACACGAAATTCACTATTTAATGTATAGATATGCCTCGGTAAATGAATAACACACACACACACACACACGTGACCATAATCATTCTGTCAGCCTTGGCGGTTCCTCATAATCATCTACTTGTTGGTTGAGATGCAGGGATGATGTGGCAACACTGCTAAAGAGGTGTGCCTGGATGAAGGAGATCTGGCATAGCTGTAAAGATAAGATATGATGTTTATTTTGTGTTAAACCTTAAGGAAATGTTTGACGGTAAAACTGAAGTAAAAAACAGGGTTGTATTGCTTTTGTGGAGGTGGTGTGGTATGTAAGGAGGAGGCGCTGGCTTGAGGACTGAACAAAGATTATTTTATGTTCAATTTGTGTGTCGGAATATTTAAGCATGTAGTTCAACTTTATTTATATTTGTTATGTTTGTCGTAGGGCATGTTAACTGTCCGCCATCTATGACATTATTCTTTATTTATTTTTTTTTACATCCGAAGGTAAAATCTTTTCAGTATATTTCAGGTTTTTCAAGGTGGTGAGGCTACAACAGGGTATTTACTAGATCAGATCGGATTATCACGTTATTGTATACAGTAATTAATTTATTAGACTGGCACGATTATATACAGGAAGAAGAACCAGATTGCTTCTTGGTTAGGTTAGTTTAGGTGACATAGTCGTAAATGTCAATATCATACAAGACGAGGCTTCATCACCTGACCCTGGAGGAATGCTACTGCCAGTCCCGCCGTTACACCCAACACACCGCCGCTACACCCAACACACCGCCGCTACACCCAACTCACCCATGACAACAATGCCTCAGTGTAACAAAGAAGCTCTTATCAATGTGTCACCATGAGCGATGTTAAGAATCTATACAAAAAAGACTACCGTTAGTATACCAGTACACCAGGTTTGTGTTGAGATGCTGGGGAGTCAGTCTGATGAGGTTAGGTTAGCACCGGTATTTGTTAGGGGGAATAATTAGAAGTTAAAGTGGCCGTAAGGGAGGAAAATTGGTGAGACGAGATAGGGAGTCATTTCGTTAAGTTATGTGGGAAAAATTGTCTAAATAGCTAGGCTGGTGGACGTCTGAGGTGGTTGACGAGGGTGATGGATGCAAACTTAACGATCCCTGTATTGAGTCATCCCTACACTGTCACCCACCTACTGTGACACACCATGTTTAATTGCTTTGTCTGTAGCTGTAACGTCCTGTACCCCCGTTACTTAAGATTAGGTAAGGAGTGGGTATTGAGAGGCCAGTTTAACACTACAGTTGTATGGTGTATAAATTTTTGATCATAAGGTCCTGTCACGTTTCCGGTGGTGTCATTTTGGGGTGTGTGTGTGTGTGTGTGTGTGTCCCGGGTTCTCCTGAGCTCCTTGTTCCCTCCTCCCCCGGTCATAGCGGCAGAGGGGAACTTAAAAATATACTTGCGTTCTCTCTCCTTCTCTCATGATCGCTAACACAACCAACCCGAAAACTCAATAGTATTAGTTGACTGTAACCAAATTGTGTACTGTATGCTGTTACACCACAAGAGAAATTCAGTGTTCCGAGATGAGTGTACTGTCATCCCTGTTGTGACCTAGACTTCACTGTAGTCACATAACCAACAAAATATTTATTTGTTTTTGCTTTTTTCACGATTCTATAAATATTCAACCGTTTATCCTCGGCTCAGTGAGACAAAAACAGATAGCGGGTGGAGTAAACACTGAACTTAGCCATAATAACACAACCTGGTGTTTTGTAGGATGTAATTATTCTGCTAGGGATTCCTCAAGGTCACTGGTGGCGCCACACACACACAGCG